AAAGCTTTGTTAAAACAAACAACATTCACCCAAGCACCAGACTCTTGTCTGGGACAATGACAGAGCAAATAGTCCCCTCCAGGCACACTTTGAAGCCTAACTTTGGATATTCCTCAAAGTCCCCAAGCCAGATGTAAAAAAACTTTCTAGAACAGTATTTCTTAGCTAACATAACATAAGGTGATGGGTGTTATCACCTCCATCCTGGACAACTCCCAGGCTCAACTCGGAGCAGACTGGCAGAAAACCCTGCTTTTTGGTCTAACTTGGGTTTCTTTTGGCCGGCTCCAAATTGAAAAAGCCCTGTATTCCTGCAGAAAGGATGCCTGCTTACCTCACAGTTTTGATCAACCTTTCCCGTCAACAGAGACAGGTTTTCTTTCCTTTTGTTGTTTTTTGATTTTTTTTTTTCATTTAGTTTTCACTTGATCCTCAGCTAGTGTTTGTAATGCAAATGGGAAATTTTCCATTCTGAAAAGACCAAAAGGAAACATCTACTCTTCCTGGGTGTTTCCTCTCAGACTTTTTTAGAAATATCAGTAAAAGTTTACAAGTATTTCTGGTCAACCAAATGACTAGGTGCTAACTTCTTTTCACCACTTATAGCCATTTAAAAATGAGGTGCCTCATCCAACCACCTCATCTGCACTTCTTCCTTGAGCAGCAGGGCATACTGGCTCCACTACGGGATGGTTTGTCCTCAAAATCAGTGCCTATGAACGCTGAGCTGATGTTGTTGCTGTTCTTCATTGGAGTATAAAAGAAACCCAGACAACCAGTGTCGACCAACCTTACTTTTCAAAAACTGTGGGTAAAGAGAAGCATCCCTCCATGGTGCAATTCACCTAGAAACACCAGGCTCCCCTTCTCTTTCCACCAGCCAACACACAGATGCTATGAATCCACCCCCATTTGTGTGAGCAGCACCGTCCTCTTATTGAAAAAAGGGTAGATGTGGCCTCCAGCCATGAAGTTATTTCTTGTTGGACAGGCAGAAATGCATCGTGGAAACCACAGACCCACACAAATGTGACTCTTTGGGAATGGAGGATCACTCTTTGCAAGGTTCCTTTTTGCACATCCTGGCCTGCTGTGGCAGGAGAAGACCTGGTATGGTGGCTTCATATGGGACATTCTGAGTTACCAGGATACATTTCACCTGGTCTGTGTGGCACTAGGAGAGCAGCAGCAGGAAATCCAGCTGCTACACACATCTGCCTAATAATCTTGCTGGTTTTCAGGAGATGCCTGCTTTCCCTTCCCATGCCATCCCAGGAGCTACAGGATGGCTTGTGGACTGAGGGTGACATATCTCACGAGCTCCATTTCACCTGCTGCGCTTGCGTCTTCTGGGCACCTCTTCTCTGTTCATCTCTGTGCTTTATTGCAGGAGGAAGTTCAGCCTTTTAAGAATAACTTCTGGGTAGCATTTATGTTTCTCCAGCGGCAAACACTGCTGAGACAGTTAACATGTGGCAAATCTTTGTGACTGTCCCTCAAAACCTGCAATTAATATTAATGGCAAATCAAACACCATCAATGAGAATCACTCTGGTGTGACAGGCTCAATTTCCAGCCTATAGAATCCTCCCATTCACCACGTTAATACCGAGCCGACCTTCTGAACCATCTCCATGAGATCAGTCCAGCAGGATGAATAATGGAAGACCCCAAGGGTCACCCAGTTGTCTGCACTGGCCAACTCAGAGAAGGTCTGGCTGTGGGTGGCTGAGGTCACACCTGGCTGGCTGTGTCCCTTCAGCTCCCCAGAGGACAGCATAGGGTGAAGCACGAGCCAATGCCATCCCCTTCCTGGCTCTGGCACAGGGAGCAACCTCCATTGGACCCAGGTCTCTGCTCACCTGCACATCCTGGCAGCTCTGAGAAGCACAAGAAACTCATCCTGAGTCCCAGGCACCACAACATAGTGGAGGGCAGCCATGAGGAGCCTTCCTGGACCTTCTCCAAAGGTCCTGTTGGAGTTCTCCCAACAGAAGGGAAGATGGATGTCGACAAAAAGCACGTATTTCAGGGAAAGGAGAAGAAGATAGAACTCTGCAACCTTCTTTTACAAACCCCTCTCATGAAAGGGTGTGCTTTCTGTGGCAACACATGCTGAGGGGAGAGTCGCAAAAACTTTCCTTCTGGGCCAGAGCACCTCTGGCCAGGCCATGCTGCCTCCTCCCTTCTTTTTTTGCCTGGTCAAAGTGGTAATTTCACCTTTCAAATGCTTTGTATGCAACAATTTGTTGAATGTCGGGGGATGAGGCCAGACCCTCTCAGTCTAAAGCTCCACAGTGTGAACTGATGGACACACAACAGAGCTTGCCCAAAGGACTGCCTGCCTGACATCTTTCTTAACAAGGCAACAAATCTACTCTGAGCTTCTGAATATGGGGGGATTTGGAGGTTTCTGTAGCAGCCTCCCCAGGTGTGTGACAAGAAGGAGATACAGCTCTCAGTGATGGTGTTTTTCCCCCAGTTCATAAAGTTTGGTGAAGACGAGAACTAGGGAGGTAGAGGACTCCCATGTTAAAACTCCAACATCATAATAAGCCATCATCCATCCTGCCTACACCGGCCACATCAAGTTTCTTCTTGAGCTGTCTGCCTGGGAAGAGGAAGCTCTTCATTATCCTACACGTTCCCTTCCCCCCATACCCCGCAAGAGAAGAAACAGAGGAGAGATAATGCTTGAAAAACCACTAGAAAAAAAAAAAAAAAACTAATATGGAGCTGTCTCCAAAGAGCTGCTTTCCCTGTGTGGCAGGCGCCTCATGGATTAACCTTTTGTATATGCAGAAATATGAAATGAATAATTGAGCAGCGCACAGACATCGCAGCATTCCCTGTCCCGCACACCGCGCTGCTCAGACTCGATGGCTCACTTTACAAAACCCTCTTCAACGGCACCTTTTAATTGAGATGTGTAGAGGACGGGAGGCAAGGGGCAATGAGCATTGCTCATCTCGTCGTGCCTGGTGATATGCCTGGGATCATGTGAAGCCAGTATAATTCTATCAACAAAATTGCACACACCAACAAATCCATTGGCCGTGGGAGGCAAGGGGCAATGAGCATTGCTCATCTCGTCGTGCCTGGTGATATGCCTGGGATCACGTGAAGCCAGTATAATTCTATCAACAAAATCGCACACAGCAACAAATCCACTGGCCGTAGTGTACCCACTGCTACTCACAAATGCACATGGATGGTGATGGGGATCCTCTCCAGTCTAGGTCCACCAGTACAATCCAGGACAAAGCCAGTTAGTTCCCTCCAAACAGATCCTGATATTTAGGTCCCTTTTCCAGACATCCAATCGCAAGGTGTTGACCTCAGCTCTTTCTTTTCACCAGCTAAGACACACCACCAAGGAATAATCCAGGACAAAGCCAGTTAGTTCCCTCCAAGCATATCCTGATGTTCAGGTCCCTTTTCCAGATATCCAATCACAAGATGTTGACCTCAGCCCTTTCTTTTCACTAGCTAAGACACACCACCAAGGAATATTGCCTTAGACCCCTAGCAAGAACTCATTCCCTTCAAACTTTTAGTGGAGGACCTGTGAGAGCAAAAAGACAACCCTGGGAGAAACCAAATGAAGACGACCCAAAAGAGGCAAACTAGGTGAAGACTGGAGAGACTAAAGAAAGAGAAACCTTTCTTTTTAGTTCCTTTTCCACTGGATTTGCCACATATATTTTGGCATCTCCCATCAGGGACTGCCATGCCACCATCTTTTGGGCTGGCAAACTGGATGTGGATGTTTTTCACCAACTCTGAGCACGTGTCTAACATGCTTCTCCACTGAACTGCTAAGTAATGTTGCTTGGATGAGACCTTCCTGGCTCTCCTGCAGAGTGGGAGGAAAACATGAATAGAGTCACTCATGACGGTGGGGATGTGGAATTCCTGTACTGCCCTGGTGATCTCCATAGAGAGTGCTGCACTGGGTACTGGCACAGCAGCATCATGTCTGTTCATGCACAAACCATCACAATTTATAGACTCCCAGTGCTCTGGCATGAGGGTTTTGGGTTTGGCTGCCTTCCTTATCCCAGTAATTGCAAAAGCTGTTCCTGAACAAACCCATCACAAGTATTTAGTAGGAGGTACCAGGAATGTCTTTATGAAGCATCACAAATCTCCATTTGTTCTAGTTCAATGTTACCACTTTCCAGATGGGCTTGGAAGAAAGTCAAAGAGATCCTGACCTACTCCTACCTCTATAGCTTTTCCTTCTGGCAGCCTCAGGTATGTGCTTGTGGGATCCGAAGCTGCACATCTGAGCATGGATCACTCTTAATCCCCATGCCAGGAGCAGCTTTGTCCCCATGTCCTTTCAGTCACTGGTGGCCTGTTCTTTCCTGAGGGTGCATAGGTAGGTCCAGCTCTAAGCAGATGCTTTGTTGTGGCAGGGACTGCCTTGTTTCTACAGGACAAGCGGAGCCTTTCCCATGGTTTGAGAAAGGTCCCTTCCCAATACCATTGTGTGTGACCATCGAGTTGATGGAGATGCACAGACAGCACTGCTGAACCTTTGTGTCTGATGTGTCCAGCTTCCTTGCTGGATGACTATCTCAAGAGATCTGCAAGCTCCTGACATGTTCCTAATTACTCTGGGGACACATCTGTGACAGTATTTTTAACACTGTGAGAGTGTGGTTCCTTGATACCAAAACAAAGCCCCTGGGACTGGCCTGGCTTGGCTGTCCTCTGGAGATGGCAGGGGAGAATGACCACCCTGTTTCCTGGTCTCTGCTGTCTGCTCCATTCCTTACCTATCCCTTGGGGAGCATCTGTAGAGCCCCACAGAGTGTGCAAGCCTGGTGCTTGTGTATACAAACTCCCCCAAATCCTCTGGTAGGTGTTTAGAGGGTCATGCAAGCAGGATGTGAGCACTGATCTAGGATGTGGACATGACAAATTCCTAAACAACTGTCTTCTTGTGCCTCGCTGATGAATGTGTAAATGGCAACTCTAAAAGGATCAATAACATGGAAGAAGCTGGTTTTGATGAAAGCAAAAGTGTCCTTCTTCTTGACCATGAATACTTGGCCCAGACAGAAATCTTGGGAGATCAAGAGGTCATCATGACAAGTGGATGCATCCTGAATGCAGGTAGGAAGAGGGATAAAGCTTTTCCAGTGCTGGATTCTCTCAGACAAGGTTTAATGAAGACACAGAAAGTTTTATCAGCTGAGAAGGGTCTGCAAGACTGGGCTTACCCAGATAGCCTGCAGCATTCCTGGAGTGCCCACCTTTGGAAGGAGCAAAGCTCACATCTTCATACACTTACAGAATCCTTGGCTGAGTCCTCAAAGCCTTCTCCCTGGTCCTTACAACAAACGAGCTGTGCTGGAGGCAAAGGTTAGCGAAACACAAACCTTTCCAAAGGCAGTCCTGCTGGTTGGACTCATACCAGCAATGAGGAGAAGAGAGTGGCCCAATAAGGTCTTCACAATCCAGCTCTAATTGTTTATCTTGCTTTTCTAATATTTGTCATTTCCGTGGTGACAAGTCCCTCTTCACCAGTGTCAATTCATTAGACCTAGTAATGGCAAGTCTTTTTGTTCCCTAATGAATTCTTTTAATCTCCATTGCAATCAGACTCTGTTTACCCTTGAAAATGGCTATAATGTTTTACAACACTCCTGGTGTGCCCCTGGGCTCTTCTTTCCCTAGTATTCTTTTTTTTTTTTTTTGGTCGACATGGTAGAGATTTACTTTCATATTCCTGTATTTCCAGAATTAGTACAGACATAGAAGAAAGGCAGAAAAGGAAGAGACAACGCATTAACAAGGGGTTTCTGCCAAAGGTTGTCTGGTGCTCCATCAAAGACCTTGCTTTCCACCTCTGCAAATTAGAGCTAAAATGCTGGTGTGAGTCACAACTGAACCGGGTTAGGCAGTGTTGTTTAACTCTCCAGATGTCTGCTGATGACTTCCTGGTTTCATTTAGGATGCTACAAACAAGCAGTTCAATTTGTCCCTTCCCAGGGAGTATCTATCTATATGGAGGGTAGATACCAGTTGACTGCTGCCAACTCATGGACAAAGGCGAAGAATTTGATGTGACATCTCTGCCTTCCCAGGGGTGGCATCACTGAGGAGAAGGCACGAGTTTGGTTTCTAACGTGTTCACAGCCCGTGGAAAAAGAGGCTGCGACCTTATGATGTGGTGGCTGCAATAAGGGTGGTGTTACCTACATGTCTGGAAATCGGGGTTGTGTGTCTCCACTCCCTTTCTTTCGCACCAGGAGATGGGACTGGTCCCTCCTCTGTCCCCTCCCCTCTGAGCACAGTTTTGAGTCAGACTGTCAGCAGTGTTGTTTAACTCTCCAGATGTCTGCTGATGACTTCCTGGTTTCATTTAGGATGCTACAAACAAGCAGTTCAATTTGTCCCTTCCCAGGGAGTATCTATCTATATGGAGGGTAGATACCAGTTGACTGCTGCCAACTCATGGACAAAGGCGAAGAATTTGATGTGACATCTCTGCCTTCCCAGGGGTGGCATCACTGAGGAGAAGGCACAAGTTGGTTTCTAACGTGTTCACAGCCCAGGGGAAAAGAGGCTGCGACCTTATGATGTGGTGGCTGCAATAAGGGTGGTGTTACCTACATGTCTGGAAATCGGGGTTGTGTGTCTCCACTCCCTTTCTTTCGCACCAGGAGATGGGACTGGTCCCTCCTCTGTCCCCTCCCCTCTGAGCACAGTTTTGAGTCAGACTGTCAGAGCGCAATGGCTGGTTAGACCTTCCCATCCTAAAGAGGCACTGTGCAATCTCATTACCCCCTGCAATGTCAAACCGCAGCTCGCTATCATCCATCCTTTTCCTCCTAGGACTGCCCAGCCCCTCCCTTACCAGCTAGAGTCAGCTTCCTGAGGTGAATTTACCACATTAAATTTGTCTGTGTTATCTGCACTGCCCCGGTGCCGGTTCAGGCAAGAATGATGGATATGGTCCTAACCTGACAGAAATTAGGGAAGTTCACACTGTGTTTTAATAGCAAATGCAGTGATTTGACATTGAATAATGGAGCTGGTCAGGTTCTATTAGTGGCAGATTAGACCATAATTCAATCTCATACCTTGCTGTTTTAAGCCTTTCTCACAGACTATATTAAACCTGACCCAGGTCTGAAGAGGCAGAATGGAAGTGCTCTGGCGTAGGTGGGGATGAATTACACCTCACAGGGACAAGAGGACAAAGCTGCCTTCGGACCCCACGGGACCACGGTGGCAGCAGCCCCAGCTGAACCTGGGACCTTCAACTCCAGTGCTCAAACTCACCCATCTGAGATACAGCCAGCCCAAAAAGACTTCTGAGTGGGGGTCACTATATGGGGCTGCACTCACTGGAGAGGGGGCATAGACCCACACAGTTGGCACATTGGGCTGGAAGGAGTGAAATTGCACCTCTCCAGGGACACACGTAGCTGGAGAGAGCAAGCCAAAGAAGGATCTAGTGGGTCCATCCCAGGAAGGGTACCAAGGGAGGGATGGAGACAATGGACAATTAAGTGTGCTTTGATGCAGGGTGCCGTGCTGGGTATCATCACTGAAGGAAAGCACCCCTGTGAAAGTTGGGGCTCCCCACTACTCCAGGGAGAATGCAAGGCACGAGGAAGAGCCTCAGGGCATGGAGAGGCAGAAAAACCATGTTTTTTTCAGTGGTGGGGAGTGAGACACATATTTCCATGGCATAGCTGAGCTCCCTAACACCTGGTTACCATCCCATACCTGGTTCTGATCTCATTTCCCCATGGATGTCTTCCTTTGCTCTTGCTTACCTCAACCCTACAGCCTCTGGCCACAGAGTGTTTCCATCACCTTTTGAAGCTCAGAAGCTCCAGGCTTGTGCTTCAGACCTGCTTTCAGAGTTTTTTCACCCATGTACCCGTTCTGCCCGGGTTTTGTTTACTGAATGAGAGTGCGATTGGATAGCTGGCATGGTGCTGTGTTTTCTGATTGAGAGGAGAATGCTGAATTACTTTGGCAATCATTTATTGAGTACCTAAGATACAGAAAACCTAACAGAGATAACAATGTCCTGGAGATTAAATTCTCTGTTAGAGAGATCTCACTTAGTAGTTAAGCTAGTACATGTTTTCTCATCAGTTTTCCCTCAGCCTCCATCCCCCCATGTTACAAGCTGACAGAGCGGGCAAGAGTTTTGCACGTTCTTTCATCTTCACAAGACACAATGGACCACAAATAAAGCCATGACCATCATTGCCCTGCCATGCAGAAAGCTCCCAAACACCAAGCCTCTCCCAACAGCCTCTGCTGGGCTCTTGTTGACGCTGGAGCAACTTTGGGTTGCTGGATGCCCGATCTGGGGGAGTTTAGCAGCAGGCACAGGACATGGACACAGCCAGAGGAGAACCAAGGAGATGTTTCATTTCTCTGCTACTTGTGTGACATCTGGCATCTCATGTATCCTCTCCGACCTCCTTGCCAGAAGCTTGCGGGGCATCCAAGGGAACACCTTTGAAGTTCATTTGCTGAACACAATGGATATAGAAAGGCATAGACCAGTAATATAGATAGATATAAATGCAGATATAGATATAGTTAAGATCTAGAGAAACTGTCAGCAGGGTTTCTTTACAGCGAAACACAATTCTTGCCTTTTTTCACCTATTTACACCTTTGGGTTTTATATCTTCCAACTCTTGCATGCAGCAGGCAGGCTCTTGCTTGCCACCTGGACAGTGTGGCCTTGAGATCACCAACACACAGAAACTGGTGGCCTTGACAAAATTGTATAAAGTCTGTTTGCCAGGAGCCATCTCTCCCAGCTCGTGAGAGTGCCAGGAACCCAAGGGAATCCCCTGGGAGACACTGGCCCTGGCTGGAGACAGTAGCTGATCTTTCAGTACTTCTGAACAGGAAGAGGACCAGGACAGATGATTCTGATGAGCTGGGAGGGCTGCTGAAACCCACCTGGGAAGCAGAGCATCAGTGAGTTCAGTTGGAGGTCCAATGCTGGTGCAGCCCCTCACAGCAGTGAAAGAAGCAGCAGGCAACTGGAAGACGGAGATTTTTGCAGAGCAAACTGCCCCTGGGTGAGGGCAAAGGGGTGTCTGACCTTCAAGAGAACTAATGAATATACTGGCACCCTCCCCAAAGACAACAGGGGTGTTTGAGATCCACCCCAGGTAGCACCTGAGGGACTAGTTATCATCACATCTCAATTGTCTCTGTCTTTGGGGCTGCAAGGGCCAAGGGATCCTTTCCTGGTTTCCAACCAGGACTCCTACTCTCTCCATGAACGGGTGAACCTTTCAGCACAGAGGCCATAGATATTGGTACAGGACACAGAAAGGGAGCTCTGCTTCTGGGCCCCCAGGCAACCTTGGACAAGCTTTTTATTTTTTTTTCACCCGTGACCCTGATCTGCGCAAGGGAAGTGCTGCGGGCAGCACTTTGTGGAGCACTTTGACCCGTGCCAATGACAAGCACGGTAGAAGGCTCTTATGACTAACCTGGGGAAGGTTCCCCACACTGCAGCTCGTCAGCTTCTGCCTCCTAATTGAACCTCTCCTGGAGACTTTTCAGCACAATGGGCACGTGACCAGCACTTCAGTGTAATTACTCACTTTATACAGATAGCAACGCTAATGAAGGTGGGTCAGAGCCCTCATACATCTCATGAAACATGGGCTTTCTCACCTGTACTTCATAACGGAGGCAATTGCAACAATTGCACTTATTTTAAGACCACATTATGGCTCTTACAATAGCGCATGCAGTCTTCCCTCCACAAGCTTCCTGGAGCAGAATGAAGGAATCCCCAGCCTCACACAGAGCACCAGAGGCTCTGCAGGTATTTGCTTTGCCAAAAATGCTTCCATTTCCCCCTGAGACAGCACCTCTGAGAGCAGAAGATGCAAAGGTCGAAGAGAGCACCAGCAGATGTTTCCCTCCAAGATGTCAGCATGGAGTACCTTTGGTGCATCACTTTGGGCTGAGCTCCCTTCCTCACCAGAGTTTCATGCTGGGACAGCCAAAGGCTGTAGGAACCAGCCCAGTATGAGAAGGCTGCTCTCGTGGTGCCTTCTTGACTCTTAGGCAGCAACACCTACCCTGGTCTACCTGCCCAACACCTATGA